GTAGGGTATTTGCAAGAATTATCGAACAATAGTGATCATTGTTTATAATTCTAGGAATACTTCCTTTGTTACATCAGAACTGATTCTAACCTCCCCAACCATCTGTCTCTGGTAGACTGATATTTGGAAAGAAGTTAAGTTTTCTGCCTCAAGCACAAAGGAGGTGTGAGCTACTAGTGCTGAAGGGTAGATAGATGGCGCTGTATAGTTGACAGTAAAGATGATCCCAGTTGAAAATCTGAAAGTTTTAGTATGGTGTGATTGCAGCAAAAATTCAGGATGTAATAGAGGTACTGTTCTTAGAATTATAAACATTGATAACTTTTGTTCGATTTAGTTTTAGACATTAAGCATTATTACAAAACTCATGTTCATATTAAATGCCCATGATACAACCATGGGATAAAGGCGTAGCATGAGATAGAAGTTTTAGAATTTGTAAATCTTACTTTAAATTGTATGTTTAGATATTTATCCTGTCACACGTGCTATGTGCCCCACTCATTTACCCACCTGAACTAGAAATAAAGGAGACCAGTGAGTCCATCTCATCTGTATCATGTTTAGATCTATGCATTAAGATTCAGAGTGACAAAACACTCTCCACAAGACTATGACAAGAGGTAGGACAACAATTTTCGAATTGTCTACTTTACCTTTGTCAAGCAATATTCCAGCAGCTCCTGTCCTTGGTGTCTACATTTCACAATTTTGAGGAACAATCGAGCATGCTCTTTCTAATAAGATTTCAAAGAGTGTCATACGACTCTTGCTTGGAAGTTATTTGATCAAGGTTTGAACAACCAATTGCAAGGCCTCTGTAAAGCTCTTAGAACTTTTTATTGTAGACATGTGGAGGACATTTCCAATTTTATGCATCAGTGACAAGAATGTTGTCTAATGCAATTCCCAAATTTGACTTGTACCAAATGCTCTAGTGTTTTTTCAGGTGAACAATTGACTCACCTGTCCTCATATCATCACTATTTGATAGTAATTCATAAACACATGCTCATGATATAGTAGGAAACGTTACAATTGACTCTTTTTTTTGCAGGGATGTCTTATGAATACAGAAAGGGTTTTGATGCTTTTGTTTTTAGGTCTTTAGGGTCAATACAGATTCTTATTGTCCCTTTGCGGACTGAGACAACCATTGAACCAACCCATTCTGTTGGTTGCTCTACTCATATGATATACATTCCTCTCCATTCCTGCAGTTTGTCAATTATTCTTCCCTTCAACGCTGCCGGTTGTCTTTTAGGTGAGTGGATTATCCCTTTTGTATCTGTGTCAATATATACCAAGAGATACTGCTTCTTCCAGGAGGAGGGTACCTATTAAAAGGCAAAAGGCAAAATAACGCAAGCTAGATTACAATCTATCAGATCTTGCCTCGGGTGGATGTTTTGCATGGGAATCCTGACATTGCTGCAAGACCTTACTTACAGAGGAAGGAATGTACGACCTGTGCAGATGTAGATGAATTCCACACACCCCTCAATCTGGATTGATTAACACAACCTCTAACCAGAGACTATATATTAGGGGACTGGCCTCTGGTCTAGTTAGAGACCTATCACTGCTGTGTGACACCAAACGGCCCATTGAGTTATGTTAGTTGTCTTGATTTTAATAAAGGACATTTATAACGTATAAGTAACAATATGTATACCTTGACATTCTTGTGAATTAACAAACGGAAACACCGTACCACATCCCATTGTTCTATCATACAAAAGAAAATGCGGGAAATTCATAATTTATTCATTTTCCAGTACAAATTACTCCATTGAATATGAAACAAAGTCCTTAGTTACTGAGTCAATCGGAAGATTTATTAAGTTTCTTTGTAGTGGCATAATTGTTTTCATTATTTATTTGGGTGTTTTGTAAATGATGTCTATCAGAAATAAGTACCTCATTACTCTTTGTTGACCACACTTTATTACCCAACGTCCTGAGGTACATGTTCTAAACCTCATTCATTACTGTTTACATTAGTTTTGGCAAAGTTAACTGATTGTCAAATCACGCCATTTCACTGTTATTTACAGCAACAACAGTCACAATACAGCCATTGACTCTTTGAAACTAGCATTGGTTGACAGAGAATGGATACATATGTCATAACTGGCATATTTTGACTTCTTAAAAGTCATATTTGTTGTAGTTTGACGATTGCATGGCAACATATTCTTTTCATGAACAAATTAGCAAAAACTCGGAAAGGCTTTAACAGTGACCCATCAAACTGTTTCCTACATAAACAATTCCGGGGGTGTATAGCAAAGTGCTACGCTTATCATTATTATTAATAATTTATATTATTAATTTACAAGGCTGCAACTAAAGTAACCTGATATTGGAATATACCATTGCTCGAAAAATAATAGTTTCAGATACAATTTCTTCAAATCATTGCATCAAAATATCTTCAAGTTACATTATTAGTATTTTTTAACCGAGTCACTGCTAGATCCGAGAGAAAATGTGTGTACAGCAGATTGCTATTTCTGGCTTAGTTTATGAGACAAATACACACGATAATGTTACGGGTAATCTCTGCATAGACACAATGCCTAGCAGAACAGGACATGTAATTGAAATGGTAAATCATCATGTCTTGTGACGTTTTATCCCAATTTCACATTTTCCTTGACCAATTTTTTTACCATAATACTTGTAATATCACTGTAATATCAACATGTGTGTGCTTGAGGGGAAGCGAAGGGAATTAACTGTTAACTAGACTATGGAAGTCCCTAGATAAGGGCATCTACACGTGTTGTTCATCTTGACCACTGCAGGGGGGAAAAGCAGCCGAGGCCTGTCCCTTGGTATATGGTCTCTGCATCAGACTGCTGCCTAAACTATCTCATTGGAATGGCAGGTATTCCTCTCGTATATTACCCCCTCCAGAACATCATCTCTAAATGGACGCCTTGGATGCCACTTGGTGGTATTTGGTCACATCAAGACTGATCACATATATTACATCTTTTCATTTGCTCTGTGACACTTATACGACAAGACCAAATCTTGGTAATTTCCTTTTACTCATGAAAAGTTATTTCTATCACCAAGAGAAGTAGAATCAATAATCTTTTGACCTCGTAGGTTAAAGCCTCCTCACAGTACAATCACCCTTCTCATGTCCATTTTTGTATATTAACCTTAAACTTAAACTTAAATTTCAAAAACAATACATTAAGTTTATTCTAAAATCTTTTCCCAAAATACCATGGTTATAATAGTATGGCATTTATGATTCCATTCTCAGTCAACTGAAGTTCATTTCAGGGCTTTAATAACAGTTATCTGACCGTGGTTCCTGTAAATCACGGTGAGTTGTGCGATCTACCGATCACTTCACACACGATTTTGCCAAAATAAATGTAAACAATATTGAATGAAATTTTTATTTATTTTTTTATTAAATTAGGTTACAAACATAAGTCCCAACAAACAGTGAACACTTTTTGTAACCAGACAGTGTAATTACCTGATAAATTTGCTTACTTCAGTTTGGATTTGTTGACATAGTATTTCCGTGAATTATACACAATGAAAACTTTTTTTTTCTAGTTCTAGTATAAAACCATAAGACCATTCAAATGTGGTCATGTCATCACATGACCTCTTTATCCCCCATATTATGTGGTTTGACTTTGACTCTGTTCATTGTGGTATGTTTGTCTGGACATTATCTCTGATCTTTCTTGAAACTGACCATTGTCAAGCAATTGTTTAAGGATCTATACCACAACGTCGCCTTTACAGTATTAAAGAAGTTATTATCCATAAATTGTGTCTACTTAGTCATCCGTCAACTTCTAAGTAATGCCTATCAAACAGTTCAGTAGTGGCATGTTTTTGCTGTTCACATACAGTATGATTGTGATGGCATGCAAATGAAAACCCAACGTTTTTATAGCCCAACAAGTGATGTTGCATGTGCATGTCATGTTTATGTGTTTCGGCGCCAGGATCTATCATGGTTGTGTTTTTGCAATTTGTCCATCTTTTCACCAAATTTCTGCAGTACCTCATTCTTCCCATACAAGCCAATACCAATCCATGAAGAAATGACCAGTTCATTTTTATCCCCCGCCGCGCGAAAGCGCGAAGCGGGGGATATAGTATTCACGACCGTCCGTACGTCCGTCCGTACGTCCCACCTGTTTGTTGCCGCGATATCTCAAGAACTAAACACTGGATTGTTTTCATATTTGGAACTATGGTGTATATACAGACTCCGCAGACACCAGTCGGTTTTGGTGACCTTGACCCCATTTTCAAGGTCACAGCAGGTAAATCTGCTTTTGGAGTTGGAAAACAGTGTTGCCGCGATATCTCAAGAAGTAATCGCTGGATTGTCTTCATATTTGGTACTATGGTGTATATACAGGCGGGGGACATTTCGTCACTTCTGTGACAAATACTTGTTTATATTAATTTTGTATGGATGTCGGCAGCATTCTGTCACATGTTTACGATTTCACTACTTTTGCGTTTCTTTTTTTGCAGACTACAGTGTTAGTTATGTAGGATATTTTGTCAATAAAAACTTTAATATTTCATGATTTATGTTTGTCTAAATGTGTAGACTCATCAAAATGAAACAGATGAAAAACACATGAATGGAATATAGGATGTGAGGATGATACAGAGTTACTCAGCTGGTCAAAAGGAACCCTGGATAGGAGAGTGACTGGCATATTTGTATTGTAATCTAAGCTTTCATAAACACAGGCTTCTAAATTCACTTTTACAGTAATTAAAGAAGTTATGAACTTGTGTTGTCCAGTTTCCTTGCATTGTTGGCTTCACTGTGCTGAGCTCTATTGTTTTGGATTAAGATATGAATCAGAAATGTGACGTCACACTCAAATTATTTCATGCATGATTTAAAAGCACACAGAACAGTCGATGTACTGTCCCTTTAAAGGTGTTAAAATGGGCTGTCTCAGTTCTAAAGGTTTTGTTTTTACTTACAGGTTTGCAGCAGCTGAAGTAGATGCTACAACAGCTATCTCCCTTGACCCCCTGTACGTTAAAGCTTACATGCGTCGGGCATCAGCCATGGTGGGACTAACCAAGTTTGAATTAGCAAGGGCTGACTATGAGAGAATTCTTAACCTTGAACCACAGAACAAACTTGCAAAAGCTGAACTGGAGAAAACTGAAAAGGTACACATACTGCACATACTGCATTGAACTTGTTTTGCTCAATGGTCAACATTTCTGTTTTTTTCTGTATGCTGCGCAGTTTCTTACATTAGATTAGAAATTGGCTGGATGGAGGAGAAAAAAAGCTTTGCAACCCAGGTCAATAATTAAAAAATGTGTTACGGATTTATGGGGCCAAATCATCGTGCAAAGTCAAAAACTACATTGTATCACTTGAGATAGCAAACTTGGTCAGTGAAAATGTGAAATTTGCATTAAAACATCTCTAGACATGATGATGTACAATTTCACTTGATTTTACTGTATCAGTGATGGAAATTAATGCTCACCCATAGGCTGGAGGCTTGTAGAAATTACCTCAGGCTAATAAACTTATGATTCTATGAGCCTGTTTATGACACATGCTGTAAATTATTTATCGTCTTCCTCAATTCCTCTCTATGCTAGAGATTTGGCACCATTCGTGTTTTTTCGTTATGAATATTGATTTTTCGTTTGTTATGTGCAGTCAAAAGCTACATCATATCCCCGCTGGTGAAGAAATAGTTGATATCAAACTTGTTTTTTAAAAAAGGGGATATTTATGATAAAACATCACTAGACATGATTATTTACCATTTAAATTGTTATTTCCTGTTCTGTTAGGCATTTTGTTATATGCAGAGATTAAGATTACTGTGTGTATTTTCCCGTAACTATGCCGTAAATAGCTATCATCTGTACACACATTTTCTCCCCGATCATCCAGTGATTCATTTAATAAATGCTCAATAATTTAACTTAAAAGAATTGTGATGCAATGGTCAGGAGAATTGGTTTCTGAAACTATTATCATTCTTACAAATCCTCAACCTCCTTGACATCATTGCCATAAATAATGTCATCTGGCTGCAATCACATTGCAACTAAATTTCCAAATTCTCAACAGAAGTCCTCTTTACTGTCAACTATACATAGCTAGTTGTTCCCAGATTGAACCAAGTGTTGTGCACTTACCTGCATAAAGGCAAGAAAATCCTCACTCTGTTTTTTGTGTATGCATGTGCTTGAGTAAACATCTACTTGCTAGTTGTCACATTTTCTCTAGTACCTGGTTGTGAGGTCACACTGTTTCTAGTTATTTTTCATTTAATCTGGTAGTATTAAGTCTTTGAAAGGCATTTAGAAGTGATACACATAAGGAAGAGAATATATGGATGTCAACTTCTTTATATTTTTTACTTATCCTGCATGACTCCTAAATGCATATTACAGCTTGTTCTTGAGCTCCCCAACATAGACTTATTCGCCACCAGCCAGAACTACCAGATCTCAACCTACATATCTCCGGTCCATGATCCACTGGCTTGGGCAGTCGACGCTTTCAGTGTCCCCTGGGAAGGACTAAAAGCATACGCTTTTCCACCACCTATACTCCTTCCCAAAGTCGTCCAGAAGATCAGATCGACACAGAACCTCGATCTGACTTTGGTTGCGCCCTGGTGGCCAGCGAGTGCTTGGTTCGTTGACCTCAGAGAGCTGTCCGACATCAACCCACTGCCACTTCCAGATTGGCCAAATCTGCTGATCCACCCTCACAGCAGGCAGCCACACCCAGGACCAGACAAGCTATGTCTTCCCTTCTGATCCATTTACAGGGAGCACTGAACGTCAAAGGCTACTGGGCCAGAGCAGCTTGGGTCATCACGATAGCACATCGCCCAACTACCAGGAACCTCTATGATGACTGGTGGCAATCCTTCAAGAGCTTTTGCAGGGGCATGCAACAAGACCCCACATCTGCATCGCCTCAATTCCTGTCCTAGTTCATGCCCCATCTGCGTCACAAGTGTAAGCTCAAGGGCAGTACCAGCATGACCTACCTTGTGGCGCTCAACTCCGTCCTGGCACTTCCCGGAAGATCAGCGCATGACGTAAATCCCGGAACTACAAGCTCTGCTACGCTCATTCAGGCTGGCTTGAATGTCATTCACACCTCGCTGAGAGACTCACCCTTCGAGCCACTCGACGTCATCCTACAATCTGATGAAAAAATGGTCTTCCTACTGGCGCTTGCCACAGCAGCCCGTGTCAGTGAGCTACACGCCTTCCACGTCTCACTCGTCTGCTTTGAGCATGGAGCACACGGAGCCGTGCATCTTTGACTGTGCTGGGACTCCTTCGCCAAGAATCACTTCCCATGACAGCCAGATAGATTGTTCCTCATTCCTCCCCTAGCTTCGATTGTGGGCGCGGAAGATGAACTAGAGCTCCATCTATATCCGGTTAGAGCGCTCTGTTGCTATATCAGACGATCCAAGGAACACCATAGACAACGACACCGCCTCTACATTCCAGTATAGAGCTGCGACCTCGCAAGCGGAAGGCAGCCGCAACAGGATCGCCCTCTGGCTTCGAGCCTTCATTCTCCAGGTCTACGAGGCCGGGGGATTGGACCCCCAGGCTCCAACAACCCACATGAGACCCGGGCGATCACCTCCACCAATACGCGACACAGCAACTGCTTGCCATCATGGAGAGGTGTTCTGGCGATCAAACACATTCGTCGACAGTCACCATATGCGAGATGTTGCATTGGAGGATGTGCTAGGCACGCACAACTTGGTCTGTTAGTAGTGCCCAACAGGCTCCTCTACTACACGTCACTGACATCGCCTCCAAGTCTGAGCCGGCCTTTCGACCTCCCTTGGCGTAAGCCCTGGACTAGAAGGTTCATGCCCCACTTGCATACGGCTCGGTACTCCAGTCTCGACCTAACTCGAGTTATTTTCAGGCTGCGCTGTACCAGGACACAAGGCATACCCCGCTCTTCCCTTCCATGTAATGGTCATCCAGGCCGACCATGCAGCCGAAGACGGGCTGAGGGAAACGGAGTTTCCCATACAAGGAGTGGTCACCTAATGCCGACCACACAGCCGAGGACGGGCTAAGGGAATTGGAGGTTCCTATACATGGAGTGGTCACCCGAAGCCAACCACACAGCCAAGGATTGGCTAGGGAACAGAGTCCGGAAATAAAAGATGAAAGTCCACATCTGAAGGTATGCCCGCCTCCGGTTCCGTCCTATAAAGATGATTTAAGGAGTAATGCAGGATAAGTAAAAAATCTAGTAAAATCCTAGATATTTTTTATATTTGTATACTTATCCTGCATTACTGTGTCTAAAAGGGTCCCACCCATAGCAGATCTCCCTCCCCACGATGCCTTCCAATGTCCGGACTCTAGAGTAATGTGAGGATCCATGATGTCACTTCCTTTGGTCACGTGGGAGCTGCATGATGGGTTGACCTCTCAGCTATTTGGAACAACTTCTTCAAGCAAAGACCTTCACACATCTTTTCTCTGTCAAGAACAAGCAGTAATACACATTAAGGAGTAATGCAGGATAAGTATACAAATATAAAAAATATCTAGGATGTTACTAGATATCAGAAATATGATTATTGAAATCAATTTGCACTAATATGAAAGGTAAACCACCTTCAATAACGTAATTCAGGAAAGTTCAGAAAGTTTACAAATTTTGTGTTCTCTTTGGTCTTTACCTTGGTATGATTGAAAATATCAGGAAATGTTTAGATAGTAATGTGTAGTTTTCTATGAGGAATACATGTACAAAATATTTCTTCAATTGGCCCTTGTTTAATGAAGCACCGACTGTTTGAAATTGTGTTCCCTCTTTACAACGCCTTATGCTAAAATAATTCAGCAGGCTAAAGGTTAAGGAAATATAATTTCATACTTTAAAGTTTACACTGTTTCTTTCATGCTGATTGGCTGAAGGGGTAGTCACCTGATCTGATATTTGGAGTTCACACACCTGTGAACAGACAGAGAAGTACACATGATGTTATCAATTTTTGTGAAATTGATTGTGTGAACTTTTGCCGGAACTATTTTCTGGGGTTTCCCCTAATTCTCAATTGGTGTTTACGATCAATCCCAAACTAAAACGTGATTCACTGTTGTATTGGAAAAAAAACCTCCAAGATTTGGAGAAACCAAGACACAGCAAATCTAAAATGAAAAACACTAAATTAATAGGCTCTGAAAATGTTCAATGGTAAGACAAATAAAATTAATCTAGCTTTTAAAAGAATAAGACATAAAAAGATAAGGAAAGAAACTTAAATTAAAAAGACAAAAAAACTTACCTACCTGTTTGGTCATCGGGGACGAGAAAATACCCGTAGACGGAATTACTATTCCTGTTTTTGAGTTGTCCGACCTTCTCCGTGCATTCTAGGCCGAGAAGTGGCGGCACATGAGGAAGAATGGGGCACAGTAATGAAGCTGGCATCAGGTCATACTGTAGGTCCATCTTAGGTGACAAGAAACGCCAGCCAAGTAAAGTATTACAGCACACACGACAAATCACAAACTCCAAATATAACACACCCGGACACAAAACACACAAGTTTCAGAGCCCTCAGTTCAATCCCCACCAGTCCATTCCGAATTGGTTTGCGATTATCCAAACACAAGCTACACATTCATAAATCAGTCATATTCCCAATTTGTTAGTGCCATGGGATGGTTCTTGTGTCGGGGTATTTTCGATAACTGTTCCATAAACTTCCTTTTCAACAGCAGTAAGTATAACTTTCATCCTCATGCTCCCATTTGACTCGAAATGCACCTCTTTACAAACTTATGTGATGTCATATATAAATCCACACTTGATGGTTGACCTCGCCTCGGTGCATCGAGTCATGTTTATATCTTTGTTCACTTTCCTGTCACCTATTTTTAAGATTTGATTAATCCCAAATATTGTTTGTCAATGTGTTCAGAGAATAAAATTATGTTGATGTTGACATATTTTCAGATAATGTGGTATATATTCATAGAACCATTTTTCTTTGCGTAACTGAGTATGAGTGGGGAAATATTTGACCGAGAGCCGGCAGATACCGATAAAATAACATTGTTGCAATGTTCTTCCTCTAAACCAGAGAACTTCAAATTTAAGCAAACATTGTTACGATATTATTCAGCAA